GAGTTTCCGTCTCGGCGGGCAACGTTGTCCCCAACAACTCGATTGCTCCACATACTCGTACAAACACACCCACACACACACACGCATCTACACATTCCGCAGCACTTCTCTCTCTTTCTCCTTCTAAAGTTTGCCTTTCGGTGACGGAGTTTGGCGTTTCTATCGATCCGTCGTCGAGAATGACGGAATTTCATTCTTGCGGTTCCGGAGTGATCGCTCAAACGAGTCGGACAACGAAGGGGATGAACAGATCTCCCTCGTGTTGTTGCTCGATGGAAACGCTGTATTTGCTTTGCCGGCTAGTTAGCGAAAAACGAAGGGGAATTCTCTCGTCTTTTCACTTTTAATCGAGTTTCCTTCGTATATATACCGCTCACGAATTTCGAATCTCGCACAAGTGCGCACTTTGTGATTAAAGTGCGATTCAAATGACATTTTTATTATGAAAAGAGATATTTCCATCTTATTGTCGAAGCATGAATGGTGTATCTTTTTGATACGATATAATTGGAATAATTAGACATACGATGACGCGGGTTCAGAACAATGATGAGAAACGGAATAATACGAGGCGTTTTCACGATGAGAAATATATACCATAAAACACAGACGATATCGATTCATTCTACGTATATAGGAATATCACGAAACTGCGTGTTATTTAGAAAAACGAAACACTATAAACCGTATAATAGCGGTATTATCACACACATACGGTGGAATATTGTTTATTGTCTATAAATCTTACGAGCAACTCCTTCGAGCTCTTTCTCTCTCTCGGGAAATAATAGCGCGTGTCTGGAATAATAAAGGTTTTTTTTTGCGATTGCACGCACGCGTGTTTTGCGAACGAACGTGCATAATGAAGTGTCTCGTAAAAATGCTGAATTTTACTTGTTACTCGCAGATATATATATATACGTTCAATTTCGCGAAAGGAAATCATTTTGGCACGATGCCCCAGTCTTGCCAATTTAGCGGCCCCAGTTTATGAAATATGGTAATAGGAAAGTGTAAAATCAATCCGCGCGATAAAGCAGCATATTTATTACATGGTTGGACGAGTAAATACACCAGTTGCCTTATTTTATATTCATTCCGAATCAAAAATTATCATTTCGCTCAATCAAATTCTTAACATTCCACCTTCTCTTTCTCCCTCTCTCTTTAATAAGCAGCGCATTATAGGGGTATACGATTTTTTGATTGCACATTAATCATTTGTGTAATTTTGTCAGAAAAAAAATTGTCTATCAATTTCAAACATTACGCAAATATATACGAGTAAAGAATTATATCCCAGCTTATGTCGCGCTTTCTTTCTCTTCTCGGTATAAATGACGTGTCATGAATCTCTCATCGAAATGAGCGATTACATTGCGCCGTGTTACGAAATAATTCCCGCGCGATTTCCCCGGCAATTGGCTTAAATCTAATTGCGATTACCTGCGTTTGACGTCGCTCGATTAATAATATCCGTCAACAATGAATCGTCTTGGTGATTTCCCCACATGCGACAGAGGGTATACGTAAAAGAAAAAAATTCCCGTGATTATTATTGCGTACATTTTTGACGTAACGCTCAAAGCACCGAGGAATCATCATCCTCGGGGGAATATACAAGCGGAAGCAGGTGATCGCATAAGAAATGATGAAATATACATGAAACACCGCACCTTTCTCTCGAAGCCTAAAATTCCATCGCGCGTGTGTAGATGAAGCGTTCCGTCCTGTTTTTTTTTTTTTCTTCACTCTTGCTAGTCGTGATCTCGGTCACGTAGTACCCGAGAAATTTCTCGCTGGTGCACGTATCGTCTGTTTTACTACTGCGTGCAACAGTAGCGTATTATCGCGCGTTTATACGAGAGTCGTTCGATAAATCGCGTCTCGGCGCAAGGAGCTAATCTCGAGACTCTCCTAGTCTTCCTCATTGACGTCATATTGAATCGCGACGCAAAAAAGATGAAAAAAAAAACGTAATATTTATGAATTATGAAAGCTTTTTTAAGAAAATACTTGAGTAGCAAGATAAGACGACTAAATGATCTATCATCTATTTTTGCTCTCTTTTATAGTATCAGTTTGATAGATATACGACGTATGTTGGCGTCAATCTGTCTTTTATTATTGCCACAACGTGTATGAAGAAAAGATGTCAATGGAAAACGCCTGCGAAAGTATCTCGGTCCGTCGTTTACGTTGTACGCATTTGTTTGCAGTTGCCTGCTTTTAGGCGTTATTATTCAGTTGTGAAAATTGAAGTAAAACGAGATTTATCGCGTAATTTTCTTTAATGGATAATTGCATTGTTTAATCTGTTTATTATCATTCGACTTATAATATATATTGCTACGTACAAACGATGCAATCCCATTAATAAATGGAGATTTTCGAGAAATATTACATCAGCTGCACTGTAAAAAAATATGTAATATATTACACAAAAATATGTAAAATTACATAAATAATAAGTGTAAAATTACACGATAAATAATAAAAGTGTTTACCTTTTCATTATTTATCGTGTAATTTTACATTTATTATTTATGTAATTTTACATATTTTTAATGTACTTTTACAAAATTTTTTTACAGTGTGATTTTGCTGCGCGCAAAAGGGTCGAGCCACTTTGAGAATTTCCATGTCGACGCGATTGCGCCTTAATCGTCGTGTTTTCGTTGGAAGTGTCTGGCCGATTCGCGACCTTCGCGGTTTTATTATTTATATCGCCGATGCTCGCGAATTCGCAACAGCGGTTTATTAATTGTCGGTTTCTCTCGACTCCCACGTCGATTTTCACGAGTGAATTACGCGGTATCTCGCGACGATGCATGAAGAGGTAGATCTACGTTCTCGGCAAACATCTTGGCGACTCGCAATTCCCGTTGCTGAAGAATCGCGAACGTTACTATCGCGCGACCACGCAAAGTATTGCGCAAATATTTGTTTTTTTGGCCAAGTAAACGCTCTCGCGACGATGAGCGTGAAAGCGGCGAGTGTGTAAACAAGAGCTATCGCGAAATTGTGCCAAAGCTATTTATATATACCTGTCCGCCTATATTTGTAATCCGGATCGGCGAAAACGTCGCGAAAACGGCGCGCGCGCGTTGATCGCCTAATTAAATATCGTTCGATACATTTATTTTATCCCGACTCGCGCGCGATAATATTAATTTCGCCGCCTCCTTCGGATCGTGTGTTTCGACGGCTAATTATTGACAAATCGCGCGACCAAATGCATTAACGCAATTTATATTGCAGAATTGCAAATTGCAATATCCAGTGAAATGTAGCTTTTTGTTACACAGAGTTCGTGTAACTTTTGCGCGATTAAAATGAAATCTACGTCTAAAAGTACAACGTTTTATACTGTACGTTATTATTTTTGCTTCGCCTCCGTATTCAGATGTATATGAGTCATGTAGAGTCCCAATATTATTTGTATTTTCCGAAACATAAAATATTTTTTCAATTTTATTCGATGTGCACGTGCGCATCTTTGGCACGTTCGTGTTTTGCTACTGAATTATTACCGAGAAGCTAAATATTGCATTAGCACCGAGCGCTGAAATGACTGTAATTCTGAAAGGATTTCTGACCGCATTTCTTAAATTTTTCAACAAATTTACTGTTGGAAGAATCCCACATTTTTATTGCTTAATTCATCGTCGGTAAATAATTTGATTCTTCACCTTTTGTATAGGTACGTAATAATTTCTTCTCGCGCTCTTTACTCGCAAATGTAAGTATATCGACGAGAGACAGGAAAATCTCTGGTTGTTGCGTATTTCGAATCTCGCAGTTAATTTAAAACTCTTTTTTCATTAAAGATTGAAAATCTTTTCGCATTTCTTATTTGATATCTTCCGGAATAAGTAGAACTTTAAATCTCACAATTTTAAAGTAGGAAAGAAATAATTTCTTTTTATTTGGTAAAAATCAGCCCGAATTGTGATCGTGAGTGGAAAATTTCCATCGAGATTATAAGGTTTCGGTAAGTTATATTTGATTGTGAGAAATGTGTAAATGTGCATACGTTATTTCGAGGAGAGAGTGAATTTCCTGGCATCTGACAATTGAGAGAGACCTTGTTTCGGAGCGCGTCGCCACTAACGAGCAAACTCGCTAGGCCGCGCCAGTGTAATCAAATTAAAATGTCGGATGCAATTAGCGCGGGAAGAGATGTAGCACCTCTCTTACGAGCGCACGCAAGTGCACGCAGTTGCTACTTCTCTCAAATTGACCGAATCGAGTGCAAGTTTGCCGTCTTTCGACGAGTGTGACTACGCATTCGCACGCTCGTTCCCCTTTAGAAACCAAGCCTAACTGAGCTGCATGTGCATCCAATGCGGAATGTTGCATTGTTAATTTGATCGAAAATTTACATATCTTCGTGGCGATTATAATTTGATTTTCATGTATCTCATTATTAAACTGCGACAGTTCATGGCAAATGCTTTTTACGCGACCCATACGCTTATTTTTGAATTTTAATTTCACAGTTTCTGCGTATATTCTGCTGATATTTTTATTTAAATGATAATGTTATTATGCTAAAACGCGAATATTTTAGAGAAAATAACGTCACGCGGTATATTAACGCGCATTTTTACTTATGAATAACAAAAGAGAGAGAATTTTTAATTAATAGATAATTTAGGTAAAATTTATAGACAAAAATAAAAATTTGTTTTTCAAGCAAATTATAATTTATTAAACTGTGAAAAACATGTTATACACTTATAATCGCATGCTTGTATATTTCAAATTAAAACATGAAGCATGCAAAGTCGTTTATTAAATTCCGCGAGAATTTAAAATACCTTTAAATGCTCTAGATGAAAAATTATTTTCTCGGGGAAAAAAAAAATCACTTTTCAAGCATATACGCAAGCTTTTTCTTTTGATTTAATTAGAATTTCATTTTTTTAAGCTCTGCTGCGCACGTAGATTGCATGTGTTCTCACCATCCTTGTTTTGGATTGTTTGTTGCATCTCAGGTCCAGGCGAATGTCCCAGGATGTCACCACTTCGAAATCAACGGAGAACCTTACAATGTCTTATTACAGGTATGCAAAACACACTTATTCATTGTTTATTTCACTTTTCAACTCGCACAGTATGAGCTAATTGTAAGTACCACAGATAGTTATGATTCTATTATATATTGTCGTTGATTGTAGTATAGTAGATTTTTTTACACGCAACAAAATATTAATGCGAAAAAAATTAATGAATTTTTCGAAAACACTTGTTTCATCGACGGCAAGACTAGCGATAAGAAATTTTATAGCGGCAATATAATTAATAATATGTGCATCTCTTGACATTTCATTAAAGTGCACACGTTGTTTTATGGTTTTAAGTAATTATTGAAACGCGCTTTTAAATACCCGCTCTATAAATATCCAACCGACGAACGGTTTTAAAAAAAGTCGCACAACATTTCGACGAATGAATCATGACATAATACAAGTTCACACACCGACTATTTCTTTTTTTTTTTTTTTTTTTTCTCTCGCGAGGTGTTCCGCTATGTCGCGTTATTCGGATCTATTCGCAGAAATTTCAGCGGATTTTATCTTCGTCGGCCACACGTCCGCGGACCACTCGACTTATGGAGGTAACTTGCACGATTCGCATGGTTCGTTGCATCGTGAAATTGCGTGAACCGCGTTTTGTTATGGCTCGGCGAAATTGCCTTTACACTTGAGCGTTTTACAAATAGCACCGCGTCAAACTATTAGCGTCTACCTACCCGTTTTGCGAGAAGAAGTCGCGAATGGACTCTCTCAACTTTATTCTCGAGTGTATATTAGCGATTTAATTCCACATTTCGGAAACATCAATTGTATAAATAGAAATATCCTTTCATTGCAAATTACGATATTGTATATATATGTATAATAATATGTGGTGTTTTTATACCGTTTAATTTTTTGCTCAATTATTTTTACGATGTAAAAATAAGTATAATAATATTTGAATGATTTTAAATTATTGTGGTTTCTTTAAAGTGTAGGTATATTAGACAAGTTTTAAAAATTAATGTCGTATAATTTTGTGAAAATAACAAGAAAATGACATTAAAAAAAAACGTTTTGAACGGGAGTGCATCTCCATTTATTCTCGTTTTATTCAATCTTTTTCGATCTATTTCTGCAAATTTCCCTTCACTTAATCAAATTTGTTGCGACGAGCGCGAGTTATAAACGAGAGCGAAGTTAATTAACGATCACGTTTACTCTATTATAGGAGCAAGAGCCGTAGCGTGGATCATGGACTTTCGCCACCCTTCGATTTGGATTCTTTGCGGAACAAGGTCGAAGGACGCTTCGAATCTGTGGATAAACTCGCGAAAGGTGAGCATATTTATATTATTTTTATTAAATAATTGAAACCTTATCGGTCTACATATATCCCATTTAATTACACAAACGTTAGGTATTATAAAATGACGAAATATTATAATTTTCAAGGATATCAATTAATCTTTCTGGAAATAAATCACAAAAGTTCCTTACATTTGATCTAAAATGTAAAATATTATATCTAAATTTAAAAGTTTATAACGAATATCAAGAATATTTTATCTATCGTATTTTATGTACCGTATAATTTTGATTATACGGTGGATTTAATATTAAGCAGCTGCGACAGCTTTTTATTATCTCCGAACGATATGTCACCTCATGAAATATGCTCGTTTCCGCGATAAATTCAAGTCGGCGCGCCGGTCTATCATGGATAGGTCGTTTAATAAAAATGCGATATATCCGTCAATGTGACGTACGGAAGATCCGCGCCGTCCAATGATCCGCGACAAATCCGATATATACGGAAATTCTCGGCAGAGATCTCGGCAAATTGGAGAGGTTGACCATGATGGTCGCGTGTCCTAGACCAGACGAAGGTCTCCGGGAATCCGGGCTGTTTCGGGGCTGAGTGCAACCTTACTCGGAGTCACATTGACTTACTTTCTCAAAGTGGCACAAGTGCCACGTGTGATCGATCGCCCTATCCCGCGCGTTCTTCGAATCGGCGCGCGTTTCCGTCGCGTCGGCGCGTAACGGAGAACTTAATGAATGTTAATTGACGCGCGGGATTAAGGATAAAGCGGTATGGTAATTAATGAAGCGTCGTTTCGAGAAACGGCCCGCGAGAGGTCGACCGGAATTACGGGCAAGTGGCAAAACACCAGGCGTGTAGGTTGTCGTCCCGCGGATTATTCTCAATCGGCATGAATAATTCAGTGACAATGAGTCATTTATTCATTCGTTTAATGTAACCGGGCAGGATGTATTTTTTCGTAACATTTTGAATAATTGTCTGCCGAAATATGTGCTTTTTCTTTATTACATTTATACATATATCATTATATCATTGATCATTATGTGAGACACATCGGTAAAAGGTGTGACTTATAATTATTTATTTTGATAAAAGTTGATCGTGATTATTAAATTACATTATTTATCATAATCATATGTATAGGGTGTATTTAAATAAGTGCGAAAAATTTTAGGAGATGATTCTTTGTCGAAAATTAAGGGGGATTTGTTATATAAAAAAATTTAAAAATGAACCGGAAAATATCCACCAAGTTTCATTTCTTTAATTTGTCTAAAATTTGAGAAAAAATAACTTAATTTTTACTTCCGTCTTTGGAAAGGTGTAACTCATCAGGGAGGGATATAAGAGTATATATGTTTATATAAGAAATCCCCCTTAATTTTCGACAAAGAATCTAAAATTGTTCACACTTACCTATTTATACACCCTGTACACATGATGTAATGTTTAGAGAGAGAATATTTGATTTATTTATATTTTATTCACACTTGTGACATAAAGAGAGATTTGCGCGTTTTCGAATTACCTCGTTGTGCTCTGCTCTATTTCTCGTATGTGAAATTGCCACTAAAATTTAGATTCTGTCTCGATGGTCCCGCAAGCAGTTTATTAAATCCATTTCCAGCATGTGAATAACCCAGATACCAGTGCGAACATTTAAATCATTCGTCGTATACGCACGCGCGGGCGTGGCTTTAATGGGAACCGAGGATTCGCCAAGAGGGACAATTGTTTTCAACTATCGCTAGAAATTTATCTCATTACCTGCACCAGCCGTTTGCGGAATTGCACGTCTGAGAAATAATTCGGTCGAGTCTTTCGCGCTCGAAGTAACGCAATATGCTCGCGACGATATTATTAAATAATTTTCAGAGAATTATTTTTATTATTACGTAAATTTGTTATTAAATATTTTATTTCTCGAGATTAAATTAATGCGATTATAACAACCCAAGATAAAGATATACCAATATATTTATGATACGTTAATCATTTAATTTTGTTAATACTTTAATGTTTTATTATCGATTATTTATATATTGAATTATATTTTTTTTCAAGATTTATGTAATCAGAAATTGTTTTGTAAGAGAAAAATGGAGAAAAATTCCAGAGTAGCGATATTCGACAGCGCGATGCAAGCTGTCGATTACGTTGACGTTTTTATTGGAATCATCTCTGGGGATGTGTATGCACATGTGTGCAATTGTTTACATTGTAACGACACTGGTTGCGTGTAGACTATACAAACATTTATTGTACACGAATAAATCAAAGCCACGAACAATCGAGACTATGAAAGTTTCTCGGAGGCCGGAACGACGAAGGAATAAATCGACGGAAATTTATTCGTATTAACAAACACATTCGCCAAATATATAATCTTAACCTTCGCCTAAGCGCGTTTAAATATTCGTTTCTTTCTCTTCCGTCTTTCAAACAGCAGAATCTGTTTTATGGATGAAGTAAACACGCATATTTGATATCCGATTTAATAATATTGAGATGACATCGCAGAGATGGCAGTAGTTCGATAGTATCAACAAAGTGATCCAACAACGTGTTTCTATTTGATCTGAGAATATAAATTTTATATTTAAAGAGTAAGAATAATTCAATTATATTTTTAAATAATCGTCAAGAATTGCACACTAAAAAAATTGTTTGTATATTATAATGTCGTGTATTATAATGCTAATTAATGATAAGTATGTAATTAGAGACAATATTAATTATTATTAATATAGCCTAATACAGTCACACATAATGTTTTATCTTGTAAAAGTGTAAGGTTATCTTGTAAAAGGAGAGGTTGTTATATGGTATAGCCTAATACAGTCACACATAATGTTTTATCTTGTAAAAGTGTAAGGTTATCTTGTAAAAGGAGAGGTTGTTATTACAAATTATCTCATAAGCTTGTTATTACTGACAATGAGTTCATTATTCATTCGCGCATAAAGTTAGAAGTGACATAAAAATTTCATTTGTTTTTTATTTCTTATATATTGTCATTAAAATTCAATAGTTTATTTGGTACGTGCGATGACTGGCGATTGTATTAAATGGCAAAAAGCAATTGTCTTAACGCTCCTTTATAGGACACTAAAATTTTATGTTTGTTACATAATACACAATAATTATATGCGCATTTGCGCGAAAACTCGATTAATTGACATAAATAGTATCACTGTCTGAAATATTTCATCATAATCTATATTTAACTATCGATAGACGCATCATTGATACCAGTTATACAATTCATTGCGACAATAATACTCTTAATATCGATTCGCAAGAATTGTGTGAAGCCATTCCGACTATTTCGCAATCTGATCGATCTGATCGAAGCTGTTCTGAGAAACCGTGCGGCAATAAATCTCGCAATCAATTGCGCGATGTATCGGCGCCGAGGAATAAGCACGATCGAATAGTCCCGCCAAAAGTGACGTCAGCGTGATCCATCATGGCGATCAGCTGCGCGGAATTGTCGGAGTCGCGGCCGTGGTTTGTCGTCGTATTCATAAATTGTCAAGTGTCTGTTGTCGTGTTCTGGTCATCGTTGGAGTCGCTCGGACTCGGATAGCTAGTTATATTACGATCGTTGTCTTTCGCAAGTCGATCGGCGACACCGAGAGACTTTTCCGTGTTGTACGCGTGCATTTATTAATCGCTCACGTGATCGCGTCTGACATTTCGCGCAGTTTCAGTCACGCGTGAATTTATATAGTTGCTTCGCTCGCCCGAAAATCGTGAGATCATCGTGAGCAACCGCTGTAAGAACATTCTTATCTCGAGTTCATTATCATTTTCACAATATGATAAGTGTCACCTGTTAAGTCAAGTATCTTCGAACAAGTACTCTTCGAGCAGTGCCGTTTTTACTACGTTGTCGGTTAGTGTGATTTTTATTCTTCAATATTTTGTGATTCTATAAATGGACGATGTGCACAACAATATGCGCAATGACGATTATGCGGCTCTAATTGATCTTCAAAGTTCGAATGAATCATTGTGAGATCGACATGCATGCAAGAGACCATTTCAAATATGTAGATTTATTAGTAAAATTTTTTATTTAGATTAATATAGTTTGATGCAAAATCTATAATTTAAATTATATTTTTTTACAATTTTATATTTAAAATGCATCTCATAAATTATAATATTGTATTATTTTTGCACTGAATTTATTAATTACAAAATATAGAAAAATGGAAAAAATGAAATTAAATTAAAAAGAAAAAGAGAAAAATGTTTTATCTACACTCAAATTAGATATAAGAGTCTGGAAAAAAAATATAAAGGTTATAAATATTAAAGAAATTAATTTTTTTATAAGTCAATTTTCCGAATCAATTTTAACTAGATGGCTAATAAAATTTGTAAATGATTATTTTTATTTTCTTTATCGCATACATCTAGTCTATCAAGCGAGCAAGTTTTAACACAGCTTTTTTTCACCGTAAAACATGCAAGTTTTTTGCATACCGATAGTGACAAGGTCGACTGTGTGCCGACAAGAGAAAGTGTTCCCTGTTAAAACTTTGAATGTTTATCCATGTAATCCATGAAAGATTCAAGATGTTTAACAAAATGATAGCTCAATTTTGTCAAAAGTTTTGAAATAAATAAAATTAGCTTTTGGTAAAATTATATTAATTTTGAGAAAAATATATGAAATATACATATTTATTTGATATATTATTTAATATATGTCACATTTAAATTTATTTTTTATGTATTCGAATTATATGAAATATTAATTTTACTGAACGACTTTAAATGAAGATAAAATTTGCGAGAAACCGAATAGGTCAGCAAGCATTATATTTAATGTAATTTAGTAAGCTGCTATTGCGGAATTTCTATGAATTTATAACTGTATATTGTTAATGACTGAATAACTCATATTATTATGAATTTGTAGAAATTCTGCTGCGATAGTGTATAGCTTACTAAATTACAATATATAATGATTGTTGACCTATTTGATTTCTCGTAAATTTTATCTACATTTAAAGTCGTTCAGTAATTAATACATTAATACTTCATATAATTCGATTAAATGAAAAATAAATTTAGATATGACATTGTGTATATTAAATGTAATATTTATTAACATTTTATTATTTTATTATACGTTCTTCAATATATCTTTTTATTTGCTTGTTAATGAAGAAACGTTTATTATTATGTTTTTATATTTATCTTGAAATGAATTTGTATACTTGTTTGCTGATTATAAAAATTGTATAAAATTGATTGACAATCAAGAATAATATGCATATATCATAATATTATATTATTTAGTGTGTTCTCATTTTTAATATTTATTTATTCGAGATATGTAATCACGTGCGTACATTGCTTTCTATTTGTCTGCAATTAGACTTTGATAATTTCCGATAACTAACATCTATCAATTACGAAAACAAAATACGTTATTTCACTGACATATTGATCAATCAGAGCATATTAAACGCAATATTAAGTGCGCAAGCGGATCGTTTAACAAGACTATTCATTTTCCGGTGATTCTAAAAAAAAAAGAAAAAAACGAGAAATGTTACGGAAATGTTGTTGACGATGGAATTTAACGTTCCGATTATGATGGACTCGCAATGGGAATACGCGGACTACGAGCCGAGCAACATTCATATTTACGAGAAGGAGTACCATGACTATGTCGTGTATTACGTGGCGCAAGAAGATTCGCCGCTCTACTTAAGCAGTTTGCAGAACCTCTCAAATCCAGGTACTCGAGAAATGCGAAAAAAAATCTAGCGAGAAATACTTTTAAAACGAAGATACAAGATATTCCACGTGTTACGACCGTGTTTCCCGTGTTTGTCAGCGCAATAAAAGTTTTGTCAACTTTAACTTTCAAACTTTTCTATCTCGAAGATAGTCTCTTTCGTAAATTTTGTCTTACCTTTTAACTTACAAAAATATAAACTGATTTATTTGTGTTTAGTTAGCAAGTACGAGAGGAATATATTTTATTCCATTGCTTTTTACATAGTAATGCTTAATGAATTATTTGTTATTTTTTTAGAACACTGCTGGATTCATTATATTATAAATAGAAAGATTTAAAATACTATTTTTACAACATATTGTGTTTTGAATATAAATGGTATGAATTTAAATGGTAAAAAAGATGAAATACATACATATATTTTCTGCAGTATTTATTCGAATTATAAATAAAATTGTTTTGGTTGTATATGTATATAAATTTCAGTATGCAATAAATATATATAAAGATATAATTGAGACATAAAAGAGAAAATATGTTACATATGATAGCATACATATTTTTTCCTAAAAAAATCTGATAAAATGAAATCAACGCATTCAATATCTGAATCCATCAATAAATAGCGGAATAAAATATATTTCATTTGTAAATAATCTTTAAGAGGTATTTATTACAAAAGTCATTCTGGCTTATGTATGTCCCATTTCTGTCAACCACGTTAATCAATATTAATTAATTTCACACGTGTGAAATTATATTTGCGCCATCTGCGCAGAGAGAGAGAGAGAGAGAGAAAGAGAATGTGTGTGTGTGTGTGTGTGAAAGAGGGAAACACGCGATGAAATATGCAAATTTGTAAAAGTATCAAGTCCATGTGTCGTATCGTCGGGTCGGATAAAATATAACGTTCAGTCTAGAGGTTATTACGCAATAGCAGGAATTGAATGCCAGTTGAAATTGAGCGAAGTGTCTGAATCATTTATCGAAGGCCATGGAGAAAAACAAATCTTTCAGATTGCGCCCGTCGTGCGATTCTTCGTTGCTCTTGTCACGTTTGCTTGTGGAATACAATAGAGAAAATCTATTATTCTCAACGATCGCGTTGTGGAGAATAATAGGAAACGCGGCCGTTTAATTATAATATTGTGAGTAATCTGACATTGGCGTTTTTAATAGCTCTTGTAATTATATTAATTACACGCTGGCGGAGTATCCGTGTGTGAGATATTCTGCATTTATTTTTAAAATGATTACTTCGGTTTTAGTAATTACTCGGTCTGAAGTATATCTTACTTTAATAAGAAATACGGACACACGTATAATAAAAATCTATTAGGCTAATTGCTGATGTTATTGATTTTTTGACGGAAGGATATTAATTTATTTCAATTAATTTCGTTTATTTTTTTAAAAATGATAAAGTTTTTAAAGCAAACTGCTTCCTGCTCCGCCATCTTTTTATTTGTCGCACATATTCCGGTCGCGATGCTCTGATACTGAACTGACAATGAGTATTCAAATTGACAGTGATTAACCGCGTTTGTCTGGCGTGCAGCAAGTTCACCCCGTGGAATAACTTTTGCGTAAACTGACATATGTGCTTGCCGCTTCGTTTATCATTGAGTCGCTGCAGTGCACCGGTGCTGAGTAATGCAATCAGATAGGCGGACCGCGAAAATTTAATTTACACTCGTACGATACACTCTTATCTTTGTAAATATGTTGAACAACTCATTATCTTGCGTTTCGTGGCTTATTTTTTACCTTCTTTTATGAGTGTACATCGATATCGACGATTGACTGACACACCAAGAAAAACAATTTCTCATAGTCTTCTTGGCAAAGAAAAATTCGACTTTTGTGTAACAGCCTTTCTTTTTCATGATATTAATATTATTATTAATATCATGACAAATAATATTATTTTCATTTATTAATTAATATTATTAATAGTAGTATTTTCATGATATTAATATTATTATTATTATACATACATTATTTTATGTTAATATGCATTTAGCCGAAGTGAACTTTATTAATTATACATATATTCTATATTGCGTGTTATCATAGTATATGTATAATAATATCTCTATATGATAATTATCTAAAAATTATCTGATCTTCCTGGAAAAATAAGTTAAATATAAACAGGTGTCTCTGTTATATCTTTCCTTTGATATCTTTACGTGATATTTTTAGGCTTAATTCTGTGAAATAACTTAATGTATAAGCTGAATCACAAAATTATTTTGTAAAACTGTCAAGCGTATTTTTATGAAAAATACAGTAAAATTCTCTTTTTTTTCTAAATAAAATTAATTTTAGTCGTAAAAGAGAGGGAAAGACATATTTATGATGAGAGTTATCTACGCAGTGTGAACTCAAATTAGTCAAGATAAATGCGCATATTACATCTAGAGGTGCTTTGTTTATCAACATGCTGTTCAAGGATGTAACGTGATTAAAATGCTGCCTTTTATGCACAGATTCCGATAACGAGAGCAAAGATGGTTCCACCACGCAGGAGAAGAAGCACGGTCGTGTCTCGCAGCCTATCAACACTATTGCTTACACAGTAAGTGTGCTTAAATATATATATATGTTAAATGCCATAATTGAGTGCATATTAAGCTTTGGTATGCAACCATGCACTTGCACCATTTCAACGGGCAATCGAGTGTCGAGACAAGACGATTAGATGCCAAGGAGAGCGAACGTAACCTTTGCTCGAATGAATAAATATCCGTTTTATCCTTTTAATATATGAACATGTAGATTAACGTAATTGCTTCTTCGTTATTTCAAAGGAGGATATTTCAAGATTCGGAGCGGCTTTAATGTATTATACATTTCAGCTCTGCAGCAAAGGTTTAGTCTTATAAAGATTCATAAAAGACTATTTAAATATTCACGAGATACTATGGTCGATCCATAAATATGAATAAAAGTTAAGATTGAATCGTATAATATAATAACAAGTGTCGCGTAATATCATAAGTATGAATAGAACAGAATCGTCTTTATGTAAGCTAAAATTCTTTTATTGTTTTTAGTACGGTATTTTTCAAAACCGTTACGTGAATGCAATTTCATAATTATTCGAAAATTTTCTTACGTTTTTTATATTGATAAAAATATTTTGTTTGAAGAAATATTTTTTTATATTAAAATTCACACTACATATATATGTATTTACACGGAGAGAATTTTTTCTTAGAATTTATTCTGGGAAAATCATGTATGGTATTGGAAGAATTTTATAAGACTTTTTTACTACAATAAAAAATATTAATATTACACATCGTAAAATTAATCGAACATATTTTATATCTTATTGTTGTAGATATTTCTCTAGAAAAAATTCTCTCTGTGCATTAAAATATGACGCAGCGTGAAGTTTATGCAAACTTTAGCGTCTGTCGAAATTGTTGCGAAAGAAGCTCCGCAAAACGTTAACGGGAGAATTCGGGTTAACCGCGTCTATTACTCGCGTATTTTGGTTATCAACCGCAGTTATCAACGTGCACGCGTGTTCCGCGGCGCAAGATACTTCGGTATGAATTCCAATTACTTGGCCGTGCCTGAAGCCAGCGCCACTCGCAGACTCTCGTTAGCGAAATAGTTTCTTCCTCGTGGATCGCGTTCGTGGCGAAAGGTTGCCCCGAGTTCGCAAGTACTGTGGACATCAGCTATACGTTCCCTCGGAACTTCGTAGACGCGGGATGACACGAGACGGTAACTCGTGCGCATCGCTGGAATTCTAGAGCGACGTATATATATGTATACATGCAAAGATCGCAGTCCGGACGATTCTCGAGAGACGCGTTTATAGGTCGAGACACCTGGTGTCGAATAAGGCGATCTTTCGAGGTTTCATCTTCTCTGACACGTCTGTGATATTTAGATCCCTCTCTTCATTTTTTCATTTAACAAAACCAGTGGATCTCGATAATCTCCTTTATTTCTCTAAGCTTCTCTGTAATTAAATAATTACATAAAATGAAACGTAACGTATATTATTACGCGTACTAACAAGTTTGATATTCTTTTCGTGTTTCTTATTTTTTGTTCTGTTTACGCAAAATATAATCCTGTTATACATTATATTCTCTACTACGTTGCAATCACGTCAATTGCCGATTTCTCGTAGATATATATATATATATAAAGTCTCTGGGGAAATTTCTCGATCGAATAACGATCTAGAAAGAAAGCATTTTTCTTTCTCATCTAATCCTAATCTTTTTCTAATACGATGCTTGTGAAAGGTTCGCTCCAGGGAACCGGAAGTCTATGCGACATTCATCCGATGAGGAAATGAAGTTGCAGCACAAACTGCACTTCCTGATTCCCTTCGGAGTGGATAGAGCGAAGCAGAACTCCATGAGAGCTTGATGCCATGGTACATTCCATTCCATTCCCTTCCAACTTCAATGATCATTTTGTTTTCCTTCGGATGATGGACGAAATATTAGTTATATAATTTGATCGGAGCTAAATATCGAAGAAATACTATTATTTACATTTCCAAATAAATTCTGCAAAAACTTGATTAATTAACATCTGTAACAGTAAATATACGCGCAATTGTTTTGCAAATATACACCTTCAATTTGCTCTCGATCGATTCAAACTGATGATGATTATCTCTAAATACAGTCGGGGTTGTATTTTATATCCAATTTAATAGTATTATAATGTCGCATTTAGCTTTTTTAATAAATAATGATTAAAAATTATTGTAGCGATAAAAACTAAAAAATGAAAATATTTGAGAACTTGGAAGAAACTTGTTTATCAGAAATATTTAAATGGTACAAGAATTAATGAGTTCTGTTTATACAAACAATATTAACAACGCTTTTCGAGAAACGTGCAATGTTAATCTGTTGATGGGTCATCATTATCCGTCAGTCTTGGTAACTGTTGGCGTTATCCTGTTTGACGGCAGCGAAATCACTAACGTCGTAACGTAATCCCTGTGTCCTGATAATTACGGTGGCTAGAATCCCTGCTCTATTAGAACCCAGCTTATGTCGCTTATTTCGGCTCCCTCGCATCCTGTTGATCGATTAACGTCTGTAATCTGACAATCCCTCTTATCTTCTTCGAGCTGGCGACCTTAATGACGTTCGCGCACACGTTAAACAACAACAATTTCCAAATTTACGCTTATCATTTTATCAATTTTCAAGCGAAAATGTCTAAACCTGTGTTTGCTTTTGTATCAACGTTACTGCAACTTTGAGTTACGATAGGATTAATACAGAGAATTAACTGTGGAGAAATCGCCTAAAGAGTTTGTAGAAACGCATTTATGCTTCCGCTTAACTTATTAAAGTAAATTTTCTAAGCAAATTTTCTTATCTAAAAGTTAGATGATAGTTTTTAACTGAAACTCTTTAATCAACGTTGCCACACAACTTGACGCAATAAAATAAAAGTTTTATAGAAATATTAAATCTCAGTGTAATTAATTATCTTAATATATGATATGGAGATTAGATGTGTATGTGATACATCATTTAAACGAGAAATGAATTGAAATAAATGAGAAGTTTCGTAATTATATTAATTTGGACGGCGAAATTTCAACGCTAAGATTAATTGTCGCAAGAAAATATTACTTTTTAATCACGAATGCAGAAATGCACCCTCAGAGAGGCAGATTGTTAAGTAATCTTCCAACTGTAAAGATACGCAAACGGGAGAAAAAAAGTAAGGGATAAAATGAGAGGATTGAAAAATAGGGGCAAACACAGGGGTATTTTCCACGCGCGAGAGATCTTTTGTGGTCTGGCAGTTCTCGTTCAACGAAAACGATGATGAAGATTATAAAGCCACGGCTAAAAGACGCGGAAGCTGAAACAATGGCCATCTCTCGCTCGTCCTCCCTACTCTTCGTGGTTTTAGAAAGCATCCTCTATCTCAATCTTCCTTTTTTCTTTTGCCTTTCTCGGCTCAGCTTCATCACTGCGATTTTCCCTTTTTGCCCGTTTTAATCGATCTCTCGTTTTCTCTCTTCCCACTACCGCCACCCACGCGTCTAATCTCTGCCACAGGAATAGTCGCTCTTTTTCTTGTTCGGATGCACTACTACTAATGGGATGCGAGTTGGAAAAGGGGAGACTTTGGTTTTCTCTATCACTTGACTAATCTCGATTTTTCTATTCTTATTTAAAATTAATAATGTCCAAAATCGAATATTCAGAAACGAAAATGTTGCATATTATTATAACAAAGAATTGTAAGAATCGCTGTACGAGCCACGGAATATATTTTGCTTAGACATTGTTAAGACGTTGAGGAACAATCTCATATTTGAGATGTCTAAGCAAAATATATTTCGTGGCTCGTACAGCGACTCTTATAGTTCTTTGTCGTGATTTTATTTGGCAAGCCGGCCTTTAACGATATTTTAATTTTATTGTTGCATATTATGTTTTATTATTTTGAAAAATAAATTATCGAATTAGATATTATTTTTATCGCGTAAATAAAAAATATCTAATGATAAATAATGAAATAGGTTGAATAAAAGATTGATTGAATGTTTCAAGTAGCAATTTTTCATTGTTTTTCATAAGTTATAAATAATCGAGATAAAAGTGACGAGTTGTTTTAAATAATCTTAGATAAAGTTTATTTTAAATTAATTTATTGCCTCATTATAATAATTAAATTATGTAAAGAGATAAGAGGAATAAGACTAATTAAGTAACTATTAAATGAACATTTTCCAAGATATTTTCAAGACGTAATAAACGTCACGCTCGGAAGTAAGAAAAATCACGTTTAAAACCCATCTTTTTATCTAAGACAATAAAGGAAATAAATAATACAGTGACAATGTATAAGTTTTTTTTTTTTCAAAATTGTAGATTTGAAACGCTTTAGAAATAAATGGCTTAATTGTTCGAGCGCGAGTAGCTTAAGCTCCGGAGAACTTTGCTGAAAAATGATAATAGCGAGGCAAGATTCTCGTGTCATAGCACCTAATGGAATTACGAGAACACTGGGGAAGCGGTAGACAACGCGCAATTGGAGAGAGGGTTGAAGTGTCGCGGAATAATTAACGAATTTCCCGGCGGGACATAAATCGCGTTTTAAGCGTCGGAAACCCTATTTTCCGCCGATGTTCGTGGAAAATGGCGAACTTTCCGACCGCGGGTGAGATTAGCGTCCGCTTGCGCGGGAAGAGACGAGCTTTTTAATTGATTTATGCCGACCCTTTTCCCGGCGCTATTGTTCAAGGAGAAAGCTATCGCGACAAATAGCCCGATTAGTTCGCGCAACAGTATTACATCGCTCGTGTACAGGTCGTTGCACACGAATTTGCATAAGAGACATACGAGCGAGCGCGACCTCCACCGCCACACAACAAGGCTTTTTTTTCCGAGAATTCAATTTTCTGTCGTCCGATATTCTCTCGAACGCGTTTCTGTCAGCTTATGTAAATAAGGCTGATGGCCTCATGTGCACTATCGGGTATACGAAGAAAAATGCATAGGAGGCTCAGATGCGCTCAGTAACGGAGGTTTTATCAACTGATCCTCTCACAACATCATCTCGAGTAAATATATATATATATATATATATATATATATATACTATATCCCACATATTTAAATGCGTTCCAGCGAATCTCTACGCGAGTTAGAAAAATGATGAAAGAGCATTTGTTTAAAGATCAATGGTTAAATAAATATACGCATATTTATTTTTCAAAATACCTAACATATTTCGCTAGAAATACCACATTTACTTATTCCTTCGAGACGCACAATAATGAATCAAATCACTTTTGCTGATCATCTATTTTAATTATTATTCGATGAATCGAACTAGCCTTTGCAAATGCGGCGAAGAAATGACCATTTGCTTGCACAGAAAAGACGTTAGACATGCGAAGAAAGTAATTCTTTCGAAGGATCACGTTTCCCATTGAGATGCTTAATAACATGTTTGCCTTCGTAATTACAGGTGGGCGACAGAGACACACTTACGTCGGTGGCGGCGCGATTCGATACGACGCCGTCCGAGCTGAGCAAATTGAACAGGCTCGGAAGTACTTTCATTTATTCCGGTCAGCAATTATGGGTCCCGGCGAAAGGAGAAGGATGCCCTGGAGGAGGATCGACCACCGACGCGCCTAGTCCTGATCCTTGCCACGATCATGAGTCCCAGGACGACTTGCCACCGGAAGAAAAAGGTGAGCATATCGTTGTAATCCTCGCCGACACTATTATTGGAGTATCATTCGAGTGTTTACTCAAACTCTTAAAATCTCTTCGAGTTTATATTTAACGCACAGTTTATAAATCTTAATTATTTTACCTCGCAAATTTTAATTTGGAAGATTTTTTGCAGTTTAAGTTTTAAGCTCTAGAGAGACATAGGGAGAGATCCTAATTTTTAAACGGTCTTTTAAAATTTTGAAAACCCTTTGCCGAGGTAACATTATATACACTGAGCATTACCTACGACCTTATTATATGTGCAGTACATATTTTATAATTATAATTATTATATTATTTATATAACAAGCTCTTTTCAACGGGATAAATATGAATTTATTAATGATTCGGCCATTTATTTTGCACTTAGCGCTTAATCACCGCTGGATTGCTCTTGCGAAGCAAGAGAAAAAATATTGTTGATGACCTCTAAAGTGTCCACTTACATTAGGTACAGGGTTGACGTATAGCTGTCGAGCTGTCGAAGGACGACACGCTTTTTTTCCCGCATTTATGACGCAACACACGAGGGCGTGTGCAATTAATGGCAATTTCATTCTTTCCTGTCTAACTTGGCTGATTCGACGACCCATCGATATCCGCTCGAGATCCTGTATCCTGTTGCGCATTATGCTAATGCGCAAGACAGATTTAATACACGCGTAGCGACGTAGCATGAATAATGCAGCAGGATCCGGGGAACAGCTACGCGTGATAGGTGCGGAGATTGACTCATTCGACTAGATACATAGAAAGAAAAGAATTGGGATATATCGGTTATATTATCTGCCTATGTATATACGAAGTCGACCGCTTAAATGAATATTGATGCGTTACCACATCGTGCTACGTGTCTCCGAAAAATCGATATATAGTGCTACTGTAACTAATACACTTGTCTTTTCACGTTGTTTGCATTACATCGCCTCTGGGAACGTGGAACTTCTATGTCCTGTCGATTATCAGCTGAAAGTAGATAGCAGAGGCATTCATTTGCGATATATTTGCGTGAACTAATCAGGTTAATTTGGAGTTTGAAACAACGCACAATTTGTCATAATATTGCGCATTATTTTTGTTTTTAGTTGAATTTTGAACAGAGAGAGAGAGAGAGAGAGAGAGAAAGAAGTAGACACAGAAGTGATAGTTTTGTAAAAATAAATTTTAGAGAATTTATTCAATCTATTAAACTGATAGATTTGCATATAATTAATGTAACGCTAAATGATTTAAATAGAGAAATTTAAGATACATAAATTCTTCAAAGTTAATATAAATAACTTGTCAGGTGACACAAATACTCGTAATGTGCATTTGCGCTAAAAAAATTGTTTTTCTGGTGCCTAATTATTCATAAATAATAACAGATAATTAATAATTTATATTGTACGTAAACGCGAGACAGAAAACGCGCACTCTTTCTCTCCCTCTTTCCGTTGTTTACGGGAAATAGGATACTAAACTTAATTCCCCACGTTACACAATTTCGTGATTTACTACTCGGCCATTGGTCCGTTTAGCGGGGACAATAGACAAGGCAAATTGTTGCGCACACTTGCTCCGACTTGAAGTTTATTTATGTCTTCTTCGGATGGAATCGCGCTTTGTCACCGTTGCCGCATCGCACTAGTTATACCGCAGCACGAAGCATGCACACGCGATCGCAACGTTCGTACAACGTATGCACGGGTCGTCACGTTTTGCAACGCCAACAAGATCGGGGGGAAGAGGACAACTCCGAACGTGATCGCCGTCTTACATCGTGGACTTACATCTTCTGTAATCTACGACTCAAGTGGTCGACACGACGCGCACTGCGAAAAACACAATTACATCATAAAGGTAGCTTAACATCATATCGTATATGCGCGCGTTACACAATTCATATTGTATATGAAAATTATCGCTATCTCGAAACGTTCTTCCCAAAAATCATGTAAGAGAGTAAGAAAGATTATTTACCTATTGCCAAGTTTTTAATATTATTTTTTGTTAAAATATTATTTATTGTTTTTTTTTTTTTTTTAATTTCTAATAGCGAATTCGGTTGGATGCACTAATGCGCACTGACAATGAGTGCACATAAAGGTTTTGCACACATTTTATAATGACATAAGTATAAGTAATTAAAAAAGTAAAATAATTAATAGTAAGAGTTATTATTATCTTATTATTCATATTGAACAGCAAGAATAATAATAGCTCTTACTTTTAATTATTTTCTTTTTTAATTACTTGTGTCATTGTGAACAATATGTGATAAACTTTTATATGCACTCAGTGTGCACTAGTGCATCCAATCGAATTCGCTATAGTATCTTACATTATTAATTGTATGTAAAAAAATAAACTTAGATTATTTTATTAGTATAATTGTAGAGAAAAAGAATTGAGATAATTATTTTTTTAAATTATTTTATTATTTTTATTACTTTAAATCTTATTTTAAAAAAAATCAATAATTGTATTCAATTCTTTAATTTTAAAACTGTTGATTTTTCGCTTTATCATAATATCTTATCATATTATCATAATATATTTGGTTATCATTGATATTCAAACTCGCAAATTTCGAGAGTTCGATAAAAATATGGGTCACCTGGTATACGATACTCAATCAGCTGATCATCTACCAGCGCAAAGGGCGCGCGTACATACGCTATATTCGTATTTATTATTTTTTTTATTATTTTAAATTATTTAAATTATTATTTTTATTATATTTCATTATTTTTATTACTTTAAATCTTATTTGAAAAGAAAATCAATAATTGTATTTAATTCTCCAATTTTAAAACTATTGATTTTTCGCTTTTTTATAATATTATTTGGCTGTCATTGATATTTAAACTCGCAAACTTCGAGAGTTCGATAAAAATACGGGTCACCTGGTATACGATACTCAATCAGCTGATCATCTATACACGGCGCAAAGCGCGCGCGTACATACGCTATATTCGTATTTATTATTTTTTATTATTTTAAATTATTTAAATTATTATTTTTATTATTTTTCATTATTTTTATTACTTAAATCTTATTTGAAAAAAAAATCAATAATTGTATTTAATTCTCCAATTTTAAAACTATTGATTTTTCGCTTTTTCATAATATTATTTGGCTGTCATTGATATTTAAACTCGCAAACTTCGAGAGTTCGATAAAAATACGGGTCACCTGGTATACGATACTCAATCAGCTGATCATCTATACACGGTGTAAAGCGCGCGCATACATACGCTATATTCGCATTGCTGTGCGAACGTAAACTGCAGGCTAGTGTAATAATGCCCAACCGCAATGTCATGGCGGATGAAACAGATGATGAAATTACTGATTTCGTCGAAATTATACATGCACGCGCCATGCGTTGCAACGAATAATGAGTTACGTCGGAACTTTCTGGATGTGAGGTGAGGTTAGATTGAGTTCTCTCTGACGCGCATAGGCGGGATTTAAAGAAGCAACATGACATACGAGTCTGAGAAAACATTGTTAGATAATTGACATTGTGCGTCTCTTAAAAAACGCAAGACTTTGGATCTCTCTTTCTTTCTTTCAGTGTTATTATCTCGTGTCAGTAGTCGTTGCTTGAAAATAATCAGGATTATAAACTGTGAAATATGTGCTTATAATCATTCTTTTGTGATTATAAATAACTTAAATTCTGCAATTATGGATTGTCAAAGTCTAAATATTACTATTTTTATGTATATTAAATATGTTGTCTATTAAATATATTGAAATTTTTTTATGAATTTTTTATAAAATGCATTTTTACTTTGCACTCATTTTTGCAACGTCATTGATTTTACAGAACTTTTGGACAATCTAAGACCAGTGTCACCAAAACCAGGCCATATGGAACGTATAAAGACACCTCTTGGAACTTCCAGTGGAACTGCGGATGAAGATGAGCAACCATTTAGAGAAAGATTTTTGAAAATCAATGTCAGGCATATCACAGATGGCCAGGTAATGCTTTTGAAAAATATTTATTATTTTATTAAAATATCTGTTATTATTATACTTTATCTGATAGTTTTAATTATTGAAAATTTACATATTTTTCCAGGGTGTAGTTGGTGGTGTGTTGTTAGTTACGCCAAATGCAGTGATGTTTGATCCTAATGTATCTGATCCTCTTGTTATTGAGCATGGTGCTGAATCTTATGGAGTGATTGCGCCGATGGAGTTTGTAGTTAATGCTGCAATTTATTATGACATTGCGCATATGAGGGTCTCCCATACTGAGTCCAGCCATTTGGACAAAAACCTGAAATTTATTACATGAAGAAACCCCAAGTAGATAATCGTAAATGCCAATCTCCAGGGAAGGATGAGAATTTTCCTGAATTAGCGGGTGATGATAGTGAGAGTGTATGTAGCTGTGCAGAGAGAGATGGCGATGCTTTTCCAAAGGCCTTTGAAAGAGAACTTGTAACTCCCACTAATCTTCAAAGTGTAGGTGTTCTTTTGTAATGGTATTAATATTTATTATGCATAATACATGTATTAAGATTTTATTTTAACGAATAAACATTGTTTGTTATAGGAGGAGAATTCGACCAAAGAGAAAGAGAAAGAGAAAGATAATGAGAAAGATAGTGACAAAGAATTTTGCAGTGGTGGCCAAGCTAGTAGAACATTAGAAGAACGCAGACGTTCCATGCTTGATCATCACTGGGCAGTTCCTAGTAAAGATCGAACATTTTCTGTTGATGACGAGCAACAAGATTCATTAAATTCTGATAAGGTAATTATGTTGTAATAAAATTAATATGTAAAATTAGTAAAATATCAGAATAATAAATTAAATAAAACTAATAAGATATTAAATAATATAAATAATTATTGCAACAGACGGAACCAGCTAAATCAAATGCCATTCCCGAAGACGAAGAAGGATCTCTAGTCAAATTGTCGTGCCATGATTCTGGTATCGATATCCGTGATCCTAATCCACCAATTCCGGTAGTTCAGCCTATGCCATCGAAAAAAGTGTACTCAGATGCAGATATTGTTTTATCCTCCGATTGGGTCCCTCCGATAACGATAGCGCCAACGAATGTTACAAGCACGTTAGAAACCGGTCCTACTACTATTAATGGTAGAAAGAAAGCCAGTTCGGTATCTTTTAGCTTAGAGAGTAATGCAGAGGAGCCCGAAAAGGATGAAGAGCACAAGGAAGACGATAAACAGGAAACTCGAAGGAACAAGGTATATGTTTAAAGTAAACATTTGCACTGTGTGAAACCAGTAGAATATTATTTTCTATATTATATATATATTTGACTTTTATATATTTGAATATTTTCTATACTATATATTAGATATATTTATATTTAATTTCATACTTTTTTTAAGATGCTAAAACGTCTATCATATCCATTATCCTGGATGGAAGGTTTAACTGGAGAAAAGGAAGATGAAAGCAGCAAATCCATCTCTGACAAGGTACCGAGCCTTCCGAACAGCGCTGATTCCCATCACTCTTCTGTTTTCAGCAAAGTTTTCTCAAGGTGAACAAAATTATATCACGTTACATTGACATTTATTGACATAAAATATTGCGTTACTTTGAGAGTTATTTAAAATATGGTATTTTTACAACTGCTTCTATCTTTTCACTCTTCTATCTGTGTTAAGAATGAATAACGTTTCTGCAAGGAAGCGCATTTACTAAAAAAAATAATTTTATTGCCGCGCTAATTTTTATTTTAACTTGCTTTTTGCAAACTTTAGAATAATATATAGAATACAAATGAGGTTACTCACATATGAGCAAAAAGTGCCTTATGCAGATTGTTTTGTTTTTTGTTATGAATAAAATTAATTTTAAAAGTTCATTTTTATGGCACAAATATAGCCTCATTTGTTGTACATAGTATATTTAGTTACTTATATAGAAAAAAGAGCTTCTCACATATGAAAAGCATTACGAGATACAAAACTTACGGAAGGAATATACATATAAGTATGAAGTATGAAGGTACATTAAGAGAGATGATCAATCTTAGTCGCTATTTTTCAAAAATTATGCGTGGTATTAACCACAATTATGTGACAAGAGAGAAATTTCAAGCTGTTTATGCTTACATTGCTTGCGACACGAATTTAGATATTTATTAACGCTTTAATGTCATTTCTGATATAACTAACAAAAAATATGTAATGGTGGTGGAAAAAAGCTCGCCGATCAACCTGGTGAGTGACTTTAGCTCCGGCCTGTTTGCTAAAACCCCCAGCGAAGAGAGTGGCGGTAGAGCGGGTGGAACTCCTCCGCTTACCGCCTCCTCTCTCTCCCAGGACTCCAGCAATTTCTCACCTGGTCCAGGAGGCCTCATCGGGTGAGTCTGGACCAGACATGACCTTACATTGTTGTATCCCCTTCTTCCTACAATCCTTTCTATTTTTATTCGATCTACTCTTGATCAATTTTCGTATCTTGATGTATTTTATTAATTCGTGAATGTTTTACTTCTGTAGAATTCTCTTTCAATGTTGTATTTGTTAATTAAATACACTCTGCATTGATCAAAGCTGTTAATATTATGGATATAGGAGCTATTATATACATACATGTTATCACAATTATCTAAATTTTACAATATTTCGAGGATTCTACAGTTAAAAATGCTTTTTCCTTCACACACTATTTTTTCCACTGTTTCTTAAGTTTCAAGATACTCCAGGATTGAGGGCTCCTGCTTTCAGGTAAATTATACTGTTTGCCAAAAACTCAGCCATAGACACTGCTGTTGCTACTCTTCAGATTGCTTACAGCCAACACATGACTAATTTAACACAATGTTTAGTACCCTCAAGCAGCTATATAATTTATTATTTATATACTGGACACAGTCTCTGATTGTTAATTCCTATTGTTATTAATGTATTATATATATTACTTCTGAACTACAAGAGAGAAAGTGCAAATTAAATATATAATAGTTCAATAAACATTTTTGATAGCTGACTAATGTGTACTTGTCGTTCAAAAGTTTTTGTAATGTTGTTCCTTGAGAAGAAATTCTCTTTTCTCTTTTATAATTTTATATTTTACGGATTTTTTTCAGACGCTCTTCCGTAGGTACCTTTATTCGACAGCAACCTTTAACATCCTCCGGTAGCAGCAGCGTTGATAGCAGTCGAGGTAGTAAAACTTCGACAATGGCACCGCGATTGGATTACCGCAGTATGGTCTCGGTCGAGGATATGCCAGAATTATTTGTGAGTTTCGACAGTAAGTATCGCTATCGCACATATAGAGACACATAATCTATTTCATGTTCTTATCGGAATGGATAGTCTAATTATCGTGAAGGCATACTTGAACAGAATTTCCTTTTACACAGAATACACTCATTACTGTTTCATATATCATTAATATTAATATCGATCAGTTATATATACGATGCAAAGAAATTAATAAATGATAAGGATGATAAACGGGATTAGTTAGTGTATCACGCACTGCACTCGCCCGAAAACACATAGATAGCTTTTTAAATAGTATTGTTTTGCCAGTTTATTGCTCTCATCTCAAAATTTCGAGCGCTTTTGGCTATAAATTATGACAGATTTGTGCGAAAAATAATTTTTCATATTTTCTAAATTCTAAGCTCCGTCTTATATCGCCAAGAAAATTTGGAATTGATAACCAAATGCGCTTTCCTTGATGTGTACGTTAAAGTAGTTTATCATTGTTTTAGATTATCATTGTTTATCATTGTCAATTCTATATGTCATTTCATTGAAACTAACTGAATTATATACGTATCACATTTCTTTAATATATAAAACAAATGTTTTATTCGATAAATATCGATTTATTTATGAAGAGAATAATATTAAATGTTAAATGGCGCAGTATTTTGTTTTATATGAATTGACTCTCTACTCTTTGATAGAGACAACAATCTAACTCACTAATATATATATATATATATATATATATATATATATATATGTGTGTGTGTGTGTATATATAAATATATAAATATATATATATATATATATATATATATATATATATATATATCAACAAACACAATTCTTAATAGAAAAATTTAAATCAAATTTAAATTTACTTCAACAAACACTTTTGTAACATATCTCTTTCCAAACAAAACATATAAATACATTTCTAGAATTTTGAAACCCTTTGTGCCGTATTGCATGTAGCGAACGCATCTTGTTTGCACTATTTAAATATTAACTTTGATTACAATTTAAAGTGTATATTTAACGTAGAATTTTACATTTTTATATATTTACATATTAATCTCTTTTAATAATCATAATCAAACGAATAATTATTTTAAATCAAACTATATCTACTACACTCTGCAAGATGTGTTATGCTCGATTATTATAGACATTAGTAGTAACCATTGTATATTTCTCTACATTGGTTGTTCAATTATCTCTCTAATTATCTCTCTTTCTCTTCAGTAACATTTTATCCATTTCAGATTAGCACAACGGGTTTCATTATTTAGTTAGCAATAGGTTCATACTAATGCAGTAATGTCATTTGTTTCTGTTGTCCCTCTAGTCCAAGCACCTAATTTTCCCGAACTCGAAGGCCTGGGTAGGTTCATACAGTATTAGCTTGCTTTTCTCCTTGTGTCACGTATTCCCATGTTTTCATTTGCCTCTTTATTTTGTCAAATGTCCCACATTTTTCTGTCTCTTCGCGATTTTGTTTACTGTGCATTAAACATAATTTGCGCAATTTTACACACGGCGGATACACTGTGTGGTAATCGTTATTATATTATTGTAATGGTTATTATTCTATTTCATCACCATTTCTTGCTGCACGTGTACTTTTTTTGTATATAAATTTTATAATCGGACTCTCTATAAATATATCTATACAATCGCTATATTCATGCATTATATCTATCATTATTGTTAACGTTCCTTTCACATAATAATTCTTACTCTGACACTTTCTTCTCACCTTTATTTGTGGTAATGTGCTTGCCTCGTTTTCCGAAACTTGTTCATATTTTTTACCTATTTGTGTATTTACATGTATAAACTCTCTCGGTAATTTCTGAAGAAATTCGGGCAACTTCTTATCGTAACAATACTTGTTTATTACGATATAATCGTGAATCGCACATGTTTTCTGGACTTGGACTATATCGAACGTAAAGATAAAGCCGTCGATTATAAAACTCTTATTAATTTTAAGTATTTGATCTATATTGATAAATCCTTCTCGTATTACACAGAATTGATTCCACGGCCCGCACGTTCCTGCGAAGACCCACCGTTGTACCTGAGACTACGAACGGGAAGACCAAAGGATAAGAAGATTCCGCGATCGACGCCAATTATGAGCTATGGCAAAAAGAAACTGCGCCCCGAATACTGGTTCAGCGTGCCACGCAACAGGTAATTATTTCTGACATTACAATTTCTCGACACATCTCCTTAATTATTGCAATCGATACGTCAGAACGCAAGAGAGATGCGAATTCAGAAGCCATTCGAGTTTAAGTTCTGATTTTAATCACTTACTTAAAACGTTTATGACTCTTTTAAATGGTATATAATAAATATAATCTTAAGAGATATAAAAATTAAATAATATTCTATAATAATATTTGAATAAAAATATATTTAAATGTCAAAATAAAATCTTTAAAAATTTAGAAAGTTTTGATTCTAAAAATAAATTTTAAAAATATCAATGAACACTTTCGACATTCTCATGATTTTTTTTCGATACTTCTTTCGTTCTGACGATGACTAAGGCTGCTATGTGTAAACAAGAGAAGCAGCGGTATTTGTACATTCTTAAAATCTGTATTTATATCAAGATAGGTATTTGTTTTTTCTTTTTTGACCACTAACGAGTTGTCGCCGAAAAACGAGTTACAGACGTCGCGTTGTTCACGATAAGTCATTTGATCGTACCAGAATAAATATTCGCCGAATGCTGTTTTTTTTCGGCGCCAGTAATTTTGCTTCGAACGAAAAATCTCGCCACGTATTATTTTCGTATATATGGTCGACTTACGCATGCATTCGCGAAGAGCGACATTCAGAATGCGTTATGACCGGACACATGCTTCACGTCGCAAGCACCGCAAAATAGATTTTCGCCTCTGCCACCGGATTTTCTATTTATATACTCGTTGATGCTTGATCGAGCTTTAGCAAGCGCCGACAGCCAGTGCTTTCCTTGTTTCAAACTTGTTAAACGTTTATTTAAAAATCCTAAGATAAATGAATGATGTGAGTACTTTGTGTCAGAAATTAAAAATTAGTTAAATATATATCGTTAAATAAAGTAAAGGAATATTATAATTTGTAAAGAAAAAAAAATATATAACTTTTAATGAATTTTTTTATTTTATAAATCTTTTATATTTTTTAAAAATTAAACAAATGTGTTATGGCTTTAATTTTAAAGGAAAAAAAATACGTATCTCGCGCTTAAACATAGTCTGAACATTATTGTTTAATCAAGATAGTGATCCGATTCTCAGAATTTCCAAATCAGTCATCTACATATATCATATTACGTAAATCTCGTTGACAGTTCTTTTGAGATGCCACTTGTTTACAAATATCAATCGCTTCCCAGTACCACGATTGTATCGAGTGACAGACAATTAAAATCGTTCTTGTTTAAGTAGTCATCTGGATCAAGATCTATCAAGAGCCATGTATCAATTTATTCTCGGTAATCGTATCTTGTATCTTAGTTTTATCAGATAAATTTTAAAGTTGCCAAAAATAATATTCTCATTAACATCTACAAGTTACGAGAATAAAATTCACGCGTTCATATCAGCAAGTGTGATAAAATAAATTAAACCTTGTTTAATATCTAATTTTATATAAAACGATGCACATTTATTTTATGTGTCATTGCTCGTTCTTAAAAAATACATTTTGAATATTTCTTATTAAGTTGAAATATTTGTTTGAATTCTATAAGTTAAAAGATGTACGATGGGATTTTTTACGATAGAATATTTTTATTGAAGTTTGATGCATTCTTAAAAAATGCATCTAATAAGATTATATACATATATATGCATTAAATGTCATTGTACGAGATTACATTTTTTAATTTTCTAAACTTTTTCTACCGACAAAATTAATAAAGTTTTATTTAACAAATTATTTTGTTATAATTATAAATATTCTTATAAATATATTCTACTAATTTCTTAATTCACAATTCATTATTGTGCCATCTTTATTAATTAAAATATGTTATTTTTTCGTATTTCTTTTGTGTAAATAGAGTGCGAGGATATTTTAAAATAAAATTAAAATAAGAATTTATAAATAAAATACAAACAGTGTGATAGAAATAGCAAATAAAAAATATTGGAATAAAAAAACATAGTCGAGACTAAAGTTTAAAATATACTGAACATGCTATATTTACGGCAATATATTACGGCAATATGCATATTGCACGTCATATACGTGTGACATTTTGATTGGCGTAATAGAATATTAAAATATTATAATGACATTTAATGATAAATTTTAACGAAAATAAAAATTTATTTTTCTATCGTATTATTTTAGTGGCTGACGTAGTAATCAGAGAAAAACTCTTCGTATCGATTGTAAAATAGATTAAAGAGATATAATTCTTTTTTTATTGTTTGTTATGACGGCTTAGCGAGTAAATAAAATTTGCTCTTATCGTACCTTTATTTTAAATTTTTGTAGAAGGAAAGGAAAGAGACAAAAAGAGAGCTTTCGAGCAGTAAAGGACTGAAACATGCTCTGTCAGCGCGATACGCGCGAGTGCATGCGATGCACCGGGATATACTACATTTCGCAGCGCATATACATACGAAACAAGAGTGCAGGTGTACCAAGCGAATCAGCACGTGACATGTATAACGAGACTCGACATTCGCGACGTATCTGGTAGCTTTGTTCCGCGTTTTTCGCGAATTCCTACATATTTGCACGCATCACGAGTGTGTCGCGTGCATCCTGTGAAAACGAGAGGAAGAGCTTCCTTTAAAAATTTGTAACGAACAGTCTCGTGGAATTAAACAAAAAATAGTCAAACGCGATGTGGAAATGTTTAAAAAAAATTGCCACGAGGTTAGAATCGGTATCTAATAGCTGATAACAGCCGCTGCTCCGACATATTGACTCGAAACGCGAATAATTCTCGCGCTCCTGGTACGATCAGCTGACTCGTCTGTCACGTCCTCGAGGAAATATATATCTCTCTCTGGTGTTATCGTTCCTCTCGCCTTTTAACCGTAGTGTACCGTAGTGCGGTTGCGTGACTATGAATTGGACGAACGTGGCCGCGATGAATGCGTTCAGCGGTGTTGTGAATTTTATTTACGATCGACACGTGAGAAGAGCGGTCAGAAACGTGATGCCCTTTCTGCATCGCAGGTAAAAGCGAGCTTTTGCGTTCGATATATGTCGAAGGACAGAGCAGATCATTTGTGCAGCGATAAACGACAATTTCCTTTCGCGATTATACAACACGAGATTGATGTGAATCTCTTTATTTTTTTCCAGAGTGGACGATCTGTATAGGTTTATTCACGCGTGGGTGCCGAATCTCTACGGCGAACTGGATGAGAATTACTGGCGGGAACGCGGCTACATTCTGTCAGATACCGATACGGACCTGTCACCGGAATTGTCGCCCCAAGAAAGCGGCGAGGGCGCGGATTCCACCGAAGAGAGCAAAACTCGCGATGGACAAGGCGATGACATCACCGAATTGACAAGGGAGTCCTGGGAGGTGAGTACTTTGTACTCTGTATATATCTCGACTATGTCGATACACGAATTATACGGAATAGAGCGACGGAGATCATTTTGATAGAAGGATATTTTTTCATGGCTTTTTTAGATATAATGTTTAGGTAGATTTTTTTTTACGAAGTTATTTATATAAATATAATTGAAGATTAAAAACTCTAGATATTTTTATTTTTGAGAAATATATAATAGATGAATATATAAAATAGATTTTCGATTATCCTTTTGAATTTAGATACGATTTATGAGTCTATTATTATTTTACTGCATAAGGAGTTCCTATTTTAATTAGCAATTCAATTTGCGCCCTCGCGTTAACGCAGATTATGTAATGCGAAAAGTTTTAAAGTTAGTCATCACAAAGATTTTGCCGGCTATCTAAAATTTTTGCAGAACAAAATTAATTTCGAGCTTAATATAAAATATATAATACATATATCTGACAATAAAAATTAATTTTTGCGATATATTGTATAATATTTCGAAGAAAGAAAAATTATTTCCGATACCGTCTTTAAATTGCAATGATCTGCAATTTGTTTACAATACTATTCGTATTTCTTTCTTTGATAATCCGATCCTCGTGTCGACCGGCTGTATCGAATATCGCGTCGGGGCGCGCTAAATTCGCGAAATTGCGATTCACCGTTAATGACGATAACGTCAAAGTCCGCTCTGGCCCTCGATGCTGGTCGCGATTGTCATCGATTGCGATTGAAACGCGCGGCTTCTGTCGATATTCGACGCGAGGATCGCGCGAGGCCGGTTTAAACCTCGCGACGATGTCGCGACCGACGAGAGAGCATCTGCTAAAGACGGCCGATTGTTGATTGGCCGACAGTTGATCAAGGCCCCCTACGTAAAGCTGTACAGCATCCTGAAGACTTCGAGCACGTCGGCCGATTCCGAGCAGATCCAGGATTCGGAGGTATCGATTAATCCCTACCTCCCGCCCGGTGATCGATATCTATCATAGGCACCCTAATTGCTCGATGTTGAACAATGCACCTTTTAGATAACATTGCCGCACCCTAGACCTTGTTAGAACTCTCAGGTGCACCTGACGCGTTGTCACGCGATGTTACGGCCGTGCCTATCCTGTTTTGTGTTTTTTTTTTCTTTTTCTCTTTTTTTTTTATAATTTTTTAGCCGCTTCACCCGCTTCGATGCGCCCGATTCGGTACACCAGTGCATTCGACCACGACTTATATTACATGTGCATTAGTTCTCGCGGCGAGAAAGTGTATAGAGAATCCCTTAAAATCTCTTTATTCTCACATTCTCGTAATAATATAAAATAATGGACATTGACGTAATAATATGAGAGAAATTGTCTCCTCTTAATGATTACTTCTTAGCAGTTGGACTTCTTTTGAGATAGATTCATCTCTTTCGTTTCTTGACAAATCGCTGTCGAAAATAGATTGCATGCATCTGTTCCTTCTCCGGCTAGAATCTAGATGAATGTGCAGCATGCACTCATTCAATACTCCGAACTGGCGCATGCATATAATATCTTTATCGTGTCGCATTGTTATTACCGTTTCTCTATTTCCTTCTCTCTCTTTCTCACTCTCTGTTTCTCTCGTTATACGTCCCAGTGTTTCCTTTTACGACTTCTCGTGGACTTCTATCACGACTTGATTGAATATTTGCAGAACGCACTTTCCATATTCAGTCGATTTTTACGATTTCATGCAAATCGATGTCGCGTCGAAAACAATAAGAATTATCGATTTCAAGGCGAGATGGTAATTCTGATAGACATCAGCAACCACATTGTTGATGTGTACGTCCGGACTCGAAGCGGAAAACTTTGTTAGCATAAATGTGGAAGTGGAAAGCGCGTTTATATTCTCTTAAAGAAGATATATCCAGATAATAGGATTTCATTCTTGTGTGTATCATTAAAAGGCCAATAATGTTTTTAATGTTTCCTTGCGAAACGGTTTATGGATGGACTGTTGCGAACTCCTGAAAGAATGTTTGGATCTTGTGCGTGACAAGTCGCGTATGCCTTGCGAAATATTACAATATAGATCAATTTGCGTCAGGAATCATACTCTATGAACTGCTCCGGCGCTTGCATAATGGCGCATTATTGATGCATTATTGATGAGAATTGACACAGTCGGTGTAAATTGACACAGATGCAGCAGATAACATTTCTTGGGAGAATATTTCCACGCACTCGTTTATCACATGCAGAACTTACGCTTTTCTTCTTCGTTTTAAGAGAAGACGGCAAATTTAATCGCATCCGGATATAAACTAAAAATATACTTTATTTGTTTTATTTGTTTTATTTTTTTTTACGTATTATCACATTTCGCGAAAAAGATAAGAAATTAATGAGAGCTTGAATTTCTATATAATAAAGTAAATATGATTACGTTTTCTCCCTATGTTCATAAATATCTCAGGATAACAGCAATTTGGCAGCCGAAAGAAGATATGACATATACTGATCATAATCATATATCGATTTTAGATAAAAAGTTAATTTCACAATATTTCTTATAAGAGTATGAAGTCGTAAAAGTAAACAATAGAAATTGCGTCAGAATTGCGCAAAATTATACACTATTACCGTAAAAATAATTTTGAAAAATACATATATATCAGAAATAATTTAAAAAATCGATAAAAATATTAAAAATTAATGCAAAAAATAATATCATAAATATCTTCGAAGTCAGTCAATATTTTTTAAAAAATGAGAAAAAATCATATATATTCATCATTAAACTGCTGATATAGCAAAAACAAATAATTTATTTGTATTTATATTTTCTATCTTCAAATACTTAGCGACTGATCGTTTAAAAATAAAGTCTTAGATGCCAAGCATGCTCTTCTTTATTTTTAGATACTCACGTAGTGTCCATCGTTTAAAGCACGACATAATTCACCACTAAAATATTCGGCTCAGCTCGTTTCGTTTAACTATTGTTACAATATACAAGATACACAAAACTTAACACCAAATAAATCAAAATAAAAAGTGATTATACACTAACAAATTACTTTCAAAACTATAGGAATAAATTGGAAGGATTTTTACAATCGACAAAATAAAAGAAAGATGAGTAATTTATGTAGGGTTTAACAAAATAAGTACAATAACATTTTAAATAATGAGAGATAGCGACTTTTGATTTTTATTGATAAGAAGGAATCTTATTCAACGTTGAATATATATTTTTTTCAGTAAAAATTTTAATCCACAGAGATACACAGAGAGAATTATTTTCTCTTAGAATTTTATAACAGGTTCTCTGATTAACATTTGCTACAATAAAAAATATTAATAATCTATCACAGTAAGATATAAAATATGCTCGATTAATTTTACTATGCATATAGTAAAATTTACTATATATACATTAATATTTTTGATCACAGAGAAGGTTTTATAAAATTCTTCCAATGCCATATTATCCTACGGGATATCATGATTTTCAGGGTAAATTCTAAAGGAAAATTCTATTCGCGTACTTTTCAAAATAACATTCTTCTATACTGAAAAGAAATATCTCCTCTTTGTTCAAAAGATTTATGAACATAAGAAATTTAGAACGACCGGTAGCACGTGCTGCGCAATTGAGGATGCGCAATCGTCAGAAAAGCCTCTGCCGAAGCATATACGTCACTCTTTTTCTTCTCCCTCCTTCTCTCACTCTTATATGAATATATTAGATTTACTTCGAAAGCTCCAGTCTGACTCTAGTTCTCGCAAAGTAAAGCTCGTATTATCGGACGAGTCATATAAAAAAAAAATACATAGTATCAATTGACATTACAGTGCGTCATAACTACGTTGATTTAATGCTGATTATAATTGATCGATTAATAAAAATTGATTAAAGAACTAAAGAGCCAATTAAAACAAGTGCAGTGATAAATTTTTAAAGACTATTGTGAAAAATATACAAGGGTGGAAATAAATTGTTTCTTTTGATAACTCGCTCGTGCGTGCGTGCCACATTTTTCGCTCTTTTGGAGGAGTCTTGTATAGTTTGAGGAAGTTAGTTCTCTGGTATTGAAACATAATGTAAATTTTACGGTTGCTCATTTGTGTACGAAAGAAAAAACTGCGAAAAAAAGGTACATCGACCCGCGATTTTTAGTACTCATCGAAGGATAACGGAGATGCCGAGGTCAAAAATGCCAAATCCCATCTCCAAGATCATCAAGAGATTCTTAAAAAAGAAAACGAAGGTAAAGGTCAAAGTTGAGACGAATATACTCGCGCTTTTTAATCAGGCTCATTTTTTTACACGGAGCGGAATGTGTCCGATTATGGAATTGTCAGGAATGCAGTTTAGAATTACGTAATATGTAAACATGTTTTTCTCTGGAAGCCCGGCCATATCGGAATATCTGATTTACATTGACCCATACTAGGCGCCATAAAATCTTACAATTTGAGATCGAAATTATTGGTGCGAAAAATTCTTAAATTGTCATTTTCTAACACCTTTATCCGAAATGAACAATTATTTTACGATAATGATAATTATTACTGCGTTACGTATAGCTGCATTTTTAAATTAATATACTTAGCAGTCATATATATTAATTTATCTTCGAATGTTTCATTTAAAGTAAAATTTGCCAAGATAAACAATTTATTTGATATTAAGCGATTTCAACAATTTGCCAACACGTAATTGCGTGCATTTATTTACAATTTATTTCATATAATTTATACACTAATATGTGCTAATAGTTTGAAAAGAGCGGCTATTTGTACAAGGCATGTATTTATAACCGGTTTTTAGTTGAGTCTATGTTAGTTCACCTTTCACCGAATCAATGAGACTGTCACCGCAAATTGTGTTGATCAGAATTCATTTTTTTTTAATTTAAGCTTCGAATTGTGACAAATCAGTAATGTTTATTATCGACTATATAGCTCATTTTTTAAATAGGTGGAAAAAATTAAGTTAGAAAATTGTTCGAAAAAAAGTAAAAATGTATAAATCAAAAGAAAAAGGAAAATGTATAAAAGCGAAAAATTTAAAAGTTAAATATGCAGAATTTTTTCATTGTATAAAACAATACTATAATATAATGCTTCAGCTTCAAATTAAATTTGCTTCAACTTTAGACAGGTAGGAATATAAATTTGAAAAGAGTATCTGTCCTCTCTTATAAAAACTATTTAGGAGAGAAAAGTAAAAAAGATATTTGAAAACAAGATGAAAAGGTCTTTTTCAAGAAAATTGTTCGAAAAAAAGTAAAAATGTATAAATCAAAAGCAAAAGGAAAATGTATAAAAGCGAAAAATTTAAAAGTTAAATATGCAGCATTTTTTCATTGTATAAAACAATACTATAATATAATGCTTCAGCTTCAAATTAAATTTGCTTCAACTTTAGACAGGTAGGAATATAAATTTGAAAAGAGTATCTGTCCTCTCTTATAAAAACTATTTAGGAGAGAAAAGTAAAAAAGATATTTGAAAACAAGATGAAAAGGTCTTTTTCAAGAAAATTGTTCGAAAAAAAGTAAAAATGTATAAATCAAAAGAAAAAGGAAAATGTATAAAAGCGAAAAATTTAAAAGTTAAATATGCAGCATTTTTTCATTGTATAAAACAATACTATAATATAATGCTTCAGCTTCAAATTAAATTTGCTTCAACTTTAGACAGGTAGGAATATAAATTTGAAAAGAGTATCTGTCCTCTCTTATAAAAACTATTTAGGAGAGAAAAGTAAAAAAGATATTTGAAAACAAGATGAAAAGGTCTTTTTCAAGAAAATTGTTCGAAAAAAAGTAAAAATGTATAAATCAAAAGAAAAAGGAAAATGTATAAAAGCGAAAAATTTAAAAGTTAAATATGCAGAATTTTTTCATTGTATAAAACAATACGATAATATAATGCTTCAGCTTCAAATTAAATTTGCTTCAACTTTAGAC